GGGGTTTATAATAATTCAAATAATAATCAGTATTAAAATATTTAATTAGAGGACAATACAGTAATTTAAAAACATACCTACCAATTTATCCCTCCTAACCAAATATATTGATATAACATACCCACTAATTAACCAAACACATTTTCTGAAAGATTCACAGTAATCTTCAACGTAATCTAACTTTCTAGTAATCTAACATTCCCTCAACCAAACACTCCCTTAGTATTAAACTTCTAAAATTGACTATATGATTAACTTTATGGCGTATATTAATTCTTTTAGCTCAATTCTTTGCTTCACCAACCGTCATACCTAGCTTTGTTGATTCTTAATATAATTATCTGACAGTACCTTGCTTCCTATTATAATAATAATCTCGGCGTTTTCATCTTAAATCTTAGAATTGTTGAAGAAAAGTGTAGAACAAGTGGGCGACCTAGATCTTCCCATTTATAAATTTCCATCTTAATCTTTTGGAAATCAGCAAGGAATTAAATTAGGTATGTTCTTCTTTTTTTTTTCTTTTTTTTTTTTAACGAATTCCTAATTTTATACTATAATGTTTAATTGAAGTGTTACATATGGTTGGCCTCTCTTTACAATAATTCAATTATTAATCTCCAAAAAAATATTATAATAAATTGGTTTTGATGAATCCTTATTACAAAATCATTTTAAAATTTTAATAAGTTATTTATTTTTCCATACAAATTTCACAATCTTCATATCACAAAGGAAAAATTAATTTGATTTATATACATAGTAATCCATCATGTGTGTGTGTGTGTGTATATCTATATATATACTTAAATTTTAAGTCTTTGATTTAAAATAATTTAATGGTTGATGAATGAAAAGTTACAAATAGCTATTTTATGTGTCATTTTATTACTTTTCAATTGTTGGATTGTGATTTATCAATGGCTATAAATTAGTGTCTCAAATTAAGTAAAAAATTTAAATTATTGTAGCCTGACCCATATATATACACCCAAAAGGTTAACCTATTAGATGGAAAGACTCACCCCATCACACCCCCCACCCCCACAAATATTATAAGCCCAAGATCTCTCTAATGCGCTTTTGATGGGTTATCTTTACAAGGGAACACCATAGTGTTGGACATCTTCTTTCCTGCTATGACATCAATTGTCACGACCTAATTTGGATCACGTAGCTTTAGAGCTTAAACGATGGTGGTTGGCTCTAAGTAAGCTGAAAACACACACAAAAAGAACACGATATTTAACATGGTTCGACATAACCCGTTTACATTCACGGATGAAAGAAATCCACTATAGTTTAATGAACATGACATACAAGAGTACACAACATCATAAACACTTATATCTAATACTCTTGTGTTCTCACATCCTTTCATAACATTGAATTGGTTCTCACTCTTATATTTATAGGTAGTATATAGGATATTTTATTTCTAATAAGATTTCTAATTCAATTCCTGATAGAACTCTCCTAATTACATTCTTAATAGTATTCACATCCTTATAACAATTGTATTCCTTATTAGTTAACTTACCAAAGAAATAACAATTTTACAAGGAAACAATTAGGAAAATGAGCCACGTATCCCAACAATCTCCACCTTGCCACTCTTATCACAACGTTATGGAATGAGGTTGTGACACTCTTCCACACGTATTTGTATGCACGCCATCATGCATATCATTCTTGCGAACGCCCGCAAGACAGTTGTCAAAGTTTTTAGCTCATGGCACTACCCGATGGCTTAAGGGATGCTAGTTACCTTTATGCGCGACTTCGCGTCATGTTGTCCCATTACGACACCTTGAAAGATATATGCTTTTGCCTATGGCACACAAGACCACTACTCACTTCCATGCTGCACTATTGTCAATGCCCACATGTTGCACACCCAACATGCATCTCACGCATGCTTCTTTGACTTCACAAGTTACCTGCTCTTAGTATTACTTGTTGTACACCACCGTGTCAACTTTCCACTCCTCACAGTGTTTAACGTGCGTCTTAGCAACTCCAGCGTTTTCTACACAACTCATGCGAGACCTCTTCGGCCAATGTCATTCAGAAGGGAACACCAAAGTGTTGATGCCTTCTTTCCTGCTTTAATACCTTCATGACCTTATTTGGATTGCACACCCTTAGAGCTTAAACAATGGTGGTTGGCTCTAAGTAAGCCTAAAAACACACACACACACAAAGAACACAATATTTAACGTGGTTCGGCATAATCTGCCTACATCCGCGGATGAAAGAAATTCATTATAGTTTCATGAATAAGACATACAAGAGTACACAATACCATAAACCCTTATATCCAATATCCTGTGTTCTCACATCCTCTCATAACCTTGAATTTGTTTTTATTTCTATATTTATAAGTAGTATATGGGATATTCTATTTCTAATAAGATACATATTTCAATTCCTAATAGGACTCTTCTAATTATATTTCTAATAGGATTCACATCCTTATAACAATTGTATTCCTCTTCAAATTAACTTCCCCAACAAGGTTATACAACTTGGGGAGGGTAATGATGAAACTAGAGAGATGAGGGTGTATGAAAGGAGAGGTAAGGGAGTTGGTAGAAGATAAAAGGAAGATGGTAAGAAATTTCCTATTGTAAAAAGGTGTTAAGGAGTGTGTTAGGCTGGGATAGATGGTATTTCTTCATTGGTCAGGAGGGAAATTTGGTTATTGAGAGAAAATAAGGAATAAAAGAAGAAAATAAGGGGATTGTTTCATCAAGGGGGATATATTGGGAAAATGGGGAGGAGCTGGCCCTTGAAGTCTAGCACTATCTGGGTTTCTTTTGTTTGAGTTTTGCTTGTTCATTTGATTGTGTAGTTTGTTTACTAGAATACTATTTGCTAATATTTTGCTGGATTTATCTTGATTGTTGTTTGTTGTTCTTATTCTGGTTGGTTGAGTTAGGAGAAAACCTAACAAATTTTGTCGACCTATCTTTTTCCCCTTGTCAGACTTCCTCTTCATCTTTCCTTCTCATCCATGTTTGAATTTCATTTCAACCAGACACTCTCTAATGGTACCCATATCCACCCCAAACTTTGATATCTCTCTTTCGCCACTCTCTACTCTTGCCTCCATTCTCGTATCAACCATCCCACAATCAACTGATCTAATATAAATTTGTTAGGATCCTCTCCCAACTCAACCAACCATTGTTTCAAAATGAGGTTGTGATATTTCTTGTCATGGGCTAGGAGTTTCACACCCAAAAGGCATGGGGCTCCTTGCCTATCCATCCACCTTACTCTCGAGCAAATCCACTATCACACATAGGGGTGTGGAAATCCGGTTAACCAAACTGGATTGATCACTTTTCAAACCAACTGGTTTTTCGGTTCGAATGATAATTCAAACCGAAACCGGACTGAATTATTCTTTGAACCGATTATTAACCGAACCGAATTACAAGTTCAGTTAATTGATTTATAAACCGATCATAAAACTACTCCTAAATCAGTAAACCTAATTCTAATTTCTAAATTTTCCAGTTCAGAAACAATTCATTCCAAGTGCTCATGATGATAGAGACACTAACAAACTCTCATACTTTCCTCAACAAAACCCACCCCCACCGGCTGTTGGTTGCCGGATAACCTCCACCAACCCAAAATCTCCTCTCCAAACTGAAGAGAAGAAGAAAAAGAAAGAGAAAAGGAGTGAAGGTGAAGAAATGGAGAAGACGAAAAAGAAAAAGAAAAGTGGAGAAAGAGAGGAAGAGAAGAAGAAAAACTGAAAAGAAAGAGAAAGGAAGTGAAAAGAGAAGAAGATGAAAAAGAAAACAAGTGGAGAAGCAAAACCAAGAAAAATAGGAGTTGAAGCAAAGTAGCAGAAGACGCAATATCCAAGGAAAAGTGGGGGAAAACTTAAAAGTAGGCATTTTTTATATTTTCTTATATGTTTTCAAAACCGGTTTCGGTTAACAAGTTTAATATTACCTTTAAACAGTTAACCGAACCAAAAAATCGGTTCAATCATTTTTAAAAATTGAAACCAAACTGATTAATTCAAAAATCGGTTTTTCGGTCCGGTTTTCGGTTCCGTTCGATTTTTTTTTTTTTTTTTTTTTTGCAGCACTAATCAGATACCACTTGTCACAGGTCAAGAGTTCACACTCAAAAGGCTAACCTATTGGGTGGAGGGATTCCCCCCTATAAGCCCAAGATCTCCCCAATACGGTTTTGATGTGGGATTCGTGACAATATATATAGAGAGAGAAAAATAATAATCCATATATTATTAGACAACCATAATTCGTATCATTATTATTTAATTAACAAAATATTTTCGTACTATAAAACATGCATTCAAACTTCGAGTATAAGACAATATTATTACAATTTTTTGTTTTAGCTCTCTCAAAAATAAATTCTTGGTTTTTGCCCTAAGCATGACACGTTAACAACATTATGAGAGGATAAAAGTGTGTTTGGTTCAAGGAATGTTGGATTACTGGAATCTTATATTACCTTAAAGATTATTAGGAATTTTTAGGAAAATTTGTTTGGTTAGTTGGAATAATTGGATGAATATGTTATATTAATATGTTTGGTTAAGAGGAATTAATTGGTGGGTATCTTAATTAACTAGTCGGGTAAACATGACAAGTCACCGGTACTTGAAGCTTGAAAACATAATTCATTGTTTGATTTTGTTTCATAAAATAAGATTTTGGAAAGTAATGTTCTAAAATTTTGTCATATGTTGGAGCTTTTTTTTTTTTTTTTTTTCCTATAGCTTTGTAAATTCATCTACAAAATTGCCCAAGTCATTGGTCAATTTCTTTTTTTAATTTATTTGTTCATTTTGACTGTCTTAAGACTTCATTTAGATTGGATAGATAAAGAAGATAAAAATAATAGCTTATAAATGATGTGATATTTAAAACTCTTTCGGCCTGCTACTAAACATAAATCCTTATCATGATCACCATTTATATATATAATACAATGTAGGGGAATTGTCAATGGATCCTGCGACTATTATTGAAGTTATAAATTGGATAGCTCCTCCCATTTGTAGATACTGGAAGTACCATAGAAAGTTTAATGAAATCTTGAGTTCTCTGGAAAGCATGAGAGAGGATCTTAGTATCCGCATGGAAAACATAGAACTAAGATTGAACGTGGAGCTTCGTTATCATAAAGTACCAAACAAAGAAGTGGAAAGTTGGTTGAGAAAAGCAAAAAAGATCTTCGAGGAGACACAGAGAATTGAAGATAAATTCAGTAAAGGCAACTATTTTTTGCGTGGTTGGCGAGGAAAACTTGTTGATGAAAAGATTCAAGAAGTGAAAGGAGTTTATGATCAAGGTGTTTTTCCAGATGGTTTGACAATTGATGCTCCTGATGACATTGGATTGCCATTACCAACATCAGAAATGGTAGGTGAAGTTAGTGTAAAAGAAAAAATTTGGAAACACTTGATTGATGATGAGGTACGCAAGATAGGTGTTTGTGGGATGGGAGGGGTTGGTAAAACAACCATCATGAAGCACATTCATAATCAGCTCTTGGAAGAAAGAAATAAGTTTGATAAATTAATTTGGGCAATCGTATCCAAGGAGTATGATGTTGTTAAACTGCAACAAGACATTGCAACTGCACTGGGGGAAGATTTGTCAAAACAGAATGATAAAACCACGCGGGCAGCAGTGTTACAAAAGATGTTGAAAGGGATAAAGAGATATGTGCTAATTTTAGATGATGTGTGGAAGAAAATATCTCTAGAGGAAGTTGGAATCCCTGAACCAACTGTAATGGATGGATGCAAATTAGTTTTAACAACCCGTTCCACAGAGGTGGCTCGATCCATGGGTTGTGAGGTAATCAAAGTTGAGCCACTTTCAGAAATGGAGGCATTCAATTTATTCTTGAGCAAAGTTGGATTTGAGCTTTTGCGTGTTCCCACTTTACAATCAACTTTGAAACTAATTGTGAACCAATGTGGTGGTTTGCCTCTGGCAATTGTTACACTGGCCAGCAGCATGAAAGGAGAGCCCGATGTTCATATATGGGGGAATGCATTAAATGAATTGAAAGCACGTATAGGAAGTGTTGAGGATATGGTAGACGAGGTCCTTGAACGTTTGAAATTTAGTTACGATCGTTTGAGAGATCCAAAAATCAAACATTGCTTCCTATATTGTGCTTTATATCCTGAAGATTTTGCAATAGACAAGGAGGAGTTGATAGAATATTGGATAGTTGAAGGATTTATTGATGAATTGGAGAGTAGAAAAGCTATGTATAACAAAGGCCGTGCTAATTTGAAGAGACTAGAAGAAAATTGTTTATTAGAAAGCGTGGATGATGAGAAATGTGTGAAGATGCATGATCTGGTGAGAGACATGGCATTGTACATTACTAGTCAGAGTCCTCGATATCTGGTAAAAGCTGGGATGCAATTGAGAGAGCTACCAACTGAGCATGAATGGACTGAAGATCTTCAGAAGGTTTCCTTAATGCGCAACGACATTTCAAAATTTCGCTTAGATATGACACTTCTTAAGTTTACAGCACTCTCGACCTTGCTTTTGCAAGATAATGAATATTTAAGAGAGATTGATGACTCTGTCTTTACGCTCATGATTGAGCTTAAGGTTCTTGATCTTTCTGGTTGTCGTAGAATCAGAAATCTGCCAAATTCTATTTCTAGCTTGGTAAAACTCACTGCGTTGTTGCTTAACGGTTGTAGTGATCTACAACATGTGCCTTCTTTGGCAAAACTTGTGGCTCTGAAGAAGTTGGATCTTGGTCAGACGGGTATTACAGCCATTCCTGACGGACTCGAGATGTTGGTACATCTCAGATATCTTGGTATGCGTTTGGTTTAATATTTTTATCCCTATTCTGGATCCTATTTTTCAAATAGCGTTTGGTACAATATTCTCAAAATATTACCCTATTTTTTAATTACATTTTAACCCCATAAGGTTATTAATTTCACTAAATACCCCCTGAAAAAAAGTTTAAAAATTAACAAAAACACCCCCACCAACCCAATTTGTCAGATTCCGGCAACCACCGTCGGTGATAGCCGGAATCTGTACAACGGCCAAACTTCCGACCAGAAATGGCCGAAAGTTCACCGCTGTGGCCTTTTCCGGCCAGATCCACCACGGATCTGGCCGGAAAAGGCCAGATCTGGCCGTCAGCGACGGCCAAAGAAATGGCCGTCGTTGACGGTCAACGACGGCCAAATCTTGGCCGTCGTTGACCGAAAACGACGGCCACATCTTTGGCCGTCGCTGACGGCCAAAGATGGCCGTCGTTTGGCCTTTTCCGGCCGTCGACGGCCAAAACAAACCGTAGATCTGGCCTTTTCCGGCCAGATCCACCATGGATCTAGCCGGAAAAGGCCATAACGACGTGTTACGGCACAGATCCGACAAGTCTGTGCCGTAACGAAATTTTCCGGCCAGATTCCGGCGGTGGTGGCCGGAATCTGACACTGCAGATGGTGGGGGTGTTTTTGTCATTTTACATGTTAGGGTCTTTAGTTAAATTAGTAAACCTAAGGGCTTTTTTATAAATTTTTAAAATTTACCTCGTAATACTCCCATATCCAATAACCCAATACTACCCCTAAAATCCTATCCAAAATACTAAACCAAACGCACCCTTGATCTTTATGCATACGGTATAAAAGAGATGCCTGCTGGAATACTACCAAAACTCTTCCGTGTTCAATACTTGAGGTTAGATAATGCAGTTGCAGAAGCAGAAGAAGTTTCAAGATTGAGCAAGCTGGAATGCTTGGGTATTCGTTTCAGAAATCTGCAAGAATACCACATCTACTTTTCTCTAAAACAACAAAGATGCCTCAATTACTATTCTTTTAATTCTGTAGGATTTGACTATTACTTTATAGAAGGAAGAAGGGGAAAAGCGGTAGGAATTGGAGGATTAACAAACTTTGGAGACTCCATTAAGATACCGACTGACATTCAGACGCTATTCATTGACCGCTGTGATGATTTGAGAAGCGTAAGCGATATTTCTTCTTTAAAAGATGCAACTGATTGGAGGCAATGCTGGATTTATTGGTGCAAGCAGATGGAGTACTTCTATTATTTGTCCTCTCACACAACTGCACTTCAGACCCTTGAGTTTCTGTTTCTTGAGCGTTTTGATAATTTAATTGCAATTCTTGGAGAAGAAATAGACGGAGCTAAATCCACATTACCAACACCAATAACACCTGGAATCTTCTCTTGTCTTAAAACTATTGAGATAGGCAATTGTCCAAAATTGAAGAGACTGTTTCCGCCGAAGTTGCTGCGAAACCTACAAAACTTAGAAGAAATTGGAGTTTGGAGTTGCTCAGGACTTGTGGAAATAGTAGAAGCATCAAGTGATGAAGAAGAAGAAGATAAGGAAGCAAGTAAGAATTCTGTCAAACTGTCTCTTCCAAATTTAAGATCTATCGATTTGCGATCTCTACCGGAATTAAGGGGCTTCTGTAAGAGTTGTTACGCAATCCGTTGTGATTCCCTTAGAAGCATTTATATAGAGGGATGTCCTAAGCTGAAGACGATCTCTCCCTTGTTTCCGCAACCTGACAATGGGCAGCCATTTCCTCCCGCCTCCCTTAAACGTCTTATAGTTCGTCCAAAAGAATGGTGGAATTCACTGGAATGGGACCATCCCAACACGAAGAATGTCCTTGAACGCTTCCTTGAGTATTCAAGTTAAAATAAGTTGATTACAACTTTACAAGGTTAGTTAAAATTAAGTTTTTATTTAGTCTCTTTATAACAATGATTTAAATTGGTTTTTAAGACTTTCCTTATTCATCTCTTCTTCATTGAATTTATAAAATTTACATTAATAGTTCTTTGTTTAATTAGATAATAAGTTTTAAATGAATTAAGTTTAGGTGGCCTCACTTAATAACAACTTGAGCTTAATATTTACAGTCCATCAATGAACAAAGAACAATTTATGAAAAGTCTTTAGAAGTGTAAGAATTTTTGCAGGATTATTTTTGAACAATTTTGGTTTACTTACTGAATTAATGTTTATCGTAGCTATTTGTAATTCACAGAAAGACTGTGGTCATCATTCTAAACAATGTCACGAACACTCATATTAAGTTTTCTTTCACTTTCACTTTGCATCTCTTATTTATTTTTTTATTTTTTGGTTCTTCATCATCTAATGCTTATTTTATTTTCTTATTCCAATTTTCCCAGGCGGGGCCAGCTGACTAGTTATTCCTTGCGCAAAGTCTTTTTCTTCTATATTTATTACCATCTTTTGTAATGTAAAGTTTGTCCATCGATGTGTTTTCCTTAATTTACTATACTATGACAATTCAGTACTATGAAGAAACAAATATGTGAAGGTCTTACCATTGAAAGTGTTCGGAGTCAGAATGCAATAGCCAAAGATGGTCAAACCAATACGAACATTTCATCTAACAACACAGCTTGCACCAAGAAAATCAATACATATTATAGAAAAAAATCAAATAAAAAACAAAATGGAATGGAAGATGAAACTTAATTTTGTAAGAGAACATATCAACTCTTATTTGGCAAAACTAGGCGATCTTGACCTTGAATTAGCTTTGCAGATCGAAGCACATCCCCCGTTTTTATCTGTGGCAGAATTTCTCTCCCCACTGTCGTGTATCAAGATAGGACATAAGACAAGCATAAATATTCTTCCATACCAAAAAATTGAAATAATAAAACTTGCGGCATTTTATATAAACATATTAAAGGTTAAAGATGTTACCCAAAAACTGAAAATTGCCCTTCATCGAAAGATAGCCCTCCTAAACTGGCCCACGGAAGAAGTAAATAACAATATATATCATAACTTGGATAGATGGAAATCCAAAAGCATGGAGAAAAAGAAGGATAATGATAAGACAGAGTGTATGATACAATTAATAAAATTAGGCTTCTATTCACCATCTTCATTCTATAGTAAAAAAATAATAATAATAAAAAATAAAAAAAGAGCTACAATCACTTACATTTCTTTTATCATATAGATAGAAGAAAAACTGATATGGCGCTGAGTACTCCCCAGAAACTTCACTATGTGCCATAGTATTATGCCTGGGAAATAAAGGGCTGACGTGGAGTCGCGTGACGAAACGTGGCCTGCTCCCGTCAGAACGATACGCGTATGTCACGCTTGCCAAGTGCCCTAGAGCTCCCACGTGTCTACTAACCTACTCCAAATCGCGTAAAATCGGCTTGGGAAATGGGTAATAGGACGTAAAGCCAGATTACATCCTGACACACACACCAACCCAAGGATTTAATGATGATTACACGCATTCAGCTTGGTATAAGAAGAGGAAGACCCCTTCATTAAGGGGATTCGATCATTTTACATCTGAACTCTCTCTCACTAAACAAAGCTTTGTATTTACTTTTCAATCATTTGTAAGTCAGTCCGCTTTAGCGACCTGACCCACCATATTAATACAAATCAGTGGATGTAGGATTTGCTACCTTAGCATCCGAACCACTTTAAAAATTCTCATTGCATTTATTTCATATTCACAATCCATATTCAGGTGTGTTCCTAGCCCAGTCAACGCTGCGCACGTGTCAATTAGTTGGTGTCTAAATCACGCATCAACAGTTTGGCGCTAGAAGGAGGGCCTGATTTAGCGTTTACCCTTCATCAGGAGAATCTTTGACCTACTGGTCCTACAGCAACAAATGGCCCGCCAATCAGAACCTGAGCAAGCTAATCAGCGCGCTGAAGGAGTCCCCTTGACCCAAGGGGATACCCCCTCCAGGGTACTTCCAGTACCACAAAAGGCTGCGGGGGATATCCCGGCAGCTTCGCAACTCGACCCCGCCATCAGAAGTTACCTGGAGAGGTTCGACAACACTCTCCAGACGGTCAACCAGAGGTTGGACCGTTTGGACCAAGGCATGTCATCTACGACAGCTGGGGCGGTGCAACCGCCAAAGACGCCTACAGGTTGCGCGAAAGCACGGCAAAGGGCAATAGCCCGTGCCGCGAGCACTGCAGCGCGTAGACGTAAGGGAAAGCAAGTGGCAAAAGGTAAGCCTACGGGCTCCCAAGGACCAGCGAGCACAAATCGTGCCCCGAGCAAGGTGCTGGCAAAGCTGAGACTCGGCGAAAAAGTAAATCCCGAGCTGTCCCATGCCACGTCGCAGGCGAACCCAAGCAAAAATGCCAGGCGCGATGATTCCTATCACCGCCAGTAGAACGATCCCGATCGTTATGTGGGTGGCCCCCACACCTTGCGGGGCGGTTCGTACCACCGCGAGGGTCATGAAAACGCCCCGCGCAATCCATCGCCTTCACACGCCTCTAGCCAGCGTGTGTCGAGTGCGACCGGCAATGCCGACCGAGGCGAAAAGGAATTCGACCTCCGGACTTTCCTGAACCATAATCGCGAAGGCCGGACTCGCATGGGTGAAAGTAACCCTCAGTTGGGCCCGTTACCGCAAATTGAGGAGCTTCAGCGAGCTCTGGACAGGTTAAAGGAGCAGCAAAGCGAACAGGCCCAGGTCACCTCTGCATCCTTATTTTCACCCGAAGTGCTAGCTGCTCCACTCCTACCAGGGTTTAGAATGCCCGACATGCGACCATTTGACGAGAACCATGACCCGCAGGATCATTTGTACGAGTTCAACGACCTGATGGAGCTCCACCAGGTTTCGGACCTTGCAAAATGTCGTTGTTTGGCTGTGACGCTCACTTCTCACGCCAAGCGATGGTTAAGGTCACTCCCAGCGGGATCGATCAGTTCGTGGCCTCAGATGAGCACGGCGTTCTTACGGCATTTCCAAGCCAATCGAAAATTTTTGATGCCTTTGAGCTATCTCAGCAACATAAGGCAAGAAAGAGACGAATCCCTGCAGTCCTACATCGACCGTTTCCACAGGGAGCTGAACAAGGTGGCTCACGCTCCAGAAGAGTCCATCCGAACACTTATAATAGCCGGAGTTCGCCCGCAAACCGACCTGTGGAAAGAACTGCAGGCTGAGGACGATGTTTCCCTCACCAGATTTTACAATCTTGCAGAAAAGTATCTTCGGATAAAGAATTCATTGGCGGCACTCCGCCGCCGCGATCACGGTGCTTCGAGCAGTGTGCCTGGTCGGGGAGAAGGTAGGAGAGCTGATCGCAAAGGAGACATTGATGATCAGCGAAAAGGGAAGAAACCCCGCTACGAGCATAAAAAGTCCTATGCTCCTGTTCCTCGTCACGACAGGGACAGAGCTCAATACACTCCACTGAACGTGTCCATATCTGCGATCCTTGATAAATCCGAGGAGGCCAGCCTGCTCGGTGAGCCAAAACCAATGAAAACTCCCACTACGGCCAGAAACAGCAAAAAATACTGGCGTTACCATCAGGATAACGGGCATCACACTGATGAATGTCGAGCCCTAAAGCAGGCAATCAAAGAGCTCATTAAAAAGGGGCACTTCAAGGAGTATATTGATGACTCCCCAAAGGAGAGCCAAGGGGAGCAAAAGAAAAAACGTCGTGATCGCAGCGGGTACAGTAGCGTTAATATAATTTTTGGGGGACCACACCTCGCGGGGAACACGCGAGGAGCGTAAGAAAGGTATGCTCGCGAAGCATATCACAACCCGATCAGAGTAATGAATACTTCGCAGAGACCACAAAAGGCTCGAAAGGAGGAGTCGATCACCTTCTGCGAAAGGGAAGCAGCTCGCTTGCACCATCCTCACGAAGATGCCCTGGTGATCACACCCCTGATAGGGTGTCATAATGTCTGCAGAATACTTGTGGACAACGGAAGTGCTGTGAACATCCTGTTCAAGACTGCTTTCGATAGAATGAACTTAGACGAGGCCGACCTAAAGCCCGCCTCGATACCTCTCTACAGTTTTACAAGGGACCACCTGATCCCCAGAGGAACAATCCAGCTACCAGTCACGCTCACGCTCAGCGACTAGACGAGGTGACTAGGGTTACCGAATTTCTGGTCGTGGACTGCCCATCGGCCTTTAATGGAATCTTGGGGCGACCTCTGTTAAGAAGCTTCAAGGCAGTCACTTCCATTTATCACCTCAAGATGAAGTTCCCCACTCCAACAGGGATAAGGGAAGTAAGCGGATTGCAAAGCGCATCTCGCGAATGCTATATAAAAGCGGTGCAGATGACAGACAAAGGAAAGGGTATTTCGCGATGTGTGCCTCGCCAGGCTATGGCGATCAGTCGGATTGAGCCACAGCCTGGTCCAGCGGAGGATAACATAGATCCGCGAGTTCAGGAAATTCCTCCTAGTGGCCCGGTTGAGGATTTGACCGAAGTTTCGGTTGATCCGAAAGAGCTGAGCCGAGTATTAAAGATTGGGAGCTGTCTCAACCCTCAACTCGCTTCCGAGCTGATAGACTTCTTAAAGGAAAACATTGACGTGTTTGCCTGGTCGCATGCAGATATGGTCGGGATCAGCTCGGACATTATCTGCCATTCATTAAACATTAGCAGTGAAGCCAGACTGGTTCGCCAGAAAAGAAGAGCGATGGATCCAGAGCGGTACGCCGCACTAAAATCGGAAGTGGAAAACCTCCTCCGAAATGGGTCCATCCGAGAGGCGCTCTACCCGACCTGGGTCGCCAACTTGGTCCTGGTAAAGAAGCCAAACGGCAAGTGGCGGACCTGCGTTGATTTCAGCGACCTCAACAAGGCTTGCCTGAAAGACAGCTTCCCTCTACCGAGGATCGACCAGCTCGTTGATGCCACCTCAGGGCATGAGTTGCTGAGCTTTATGGATGCGTACTCGGGATACAATCAAATCCTGATGTACGGGCCAGATGAGGAGCATACGTCCTTCATTACGGACCGGGGGCTATACTGTTACAAAGTTATGCCTTTCGGTCTCAAGAAAGCAAGCGTGACCTATTAGAGGTTGGTCAACCGAATGTTCTCCGACCAGATCGGGAAGACAATGGAAGTCTATGTGGACGATATGCTGGTCAAATCCCAGGTCGCCTCAGAACACATTGCCCATGTCGCTGAGATGTTTGACATTCTTCGACTCTACAGAATGAAGCTAAATCCTCTCAAGTGTTCGTTCGGAGTGTCATCGGGAAAATTCCTGGGGTATATGGTTAATCAGCAGGACATAGAAATCAACCCTGAGAAGATCCAAGCCCTGCTCGATATGGAGAGCCCGACCAGCAAGAAGTAGGTCATGAGTCTAAATGGGCGGATAGCGGCACTTAGTTGCTTCATATCGAGGCTAACAGACCGCTGCTTACCATTCTTCAATGTTCTGAAGGCGAACAAGAAATTCGAATGGACTCCCGAATGCGAGCAAGCATTCCAGAGTATAAAAGAACACCTAGGGAAGCCACCTCTCCTCTCTAAGCCTCTTCCACAGGAAATCCTGCTCATCTACCTGTCCGTCTCTTAGTTCGTGGTCAGTGCAGCTTTAGTGCGGGAAGAGGAAAAGGCACAGTGGCCAGTCTATTATGCAAGCAAGCGTTTATCGGATGCTGAGAAGCGGTATCCAGAAATGGAGCGACTAGCCTTTGCTCTGCTGATCGCGTCCAGAAAGCTGCTATCTTACTTCCATGCCCATACAATCAACGTAATGACTAATTACCCCCTCAGGCAGGTCCTCTAGAAACTAGAAGCCTCGGGTAAGCTGCTCAAATGGGCCATGGAACTGATCCAATTCGACCTAAAGTACAAGCCCAGATCGACCACCAAAGGGCAAGCTGTTGCAGACTTCATCTCAGAATTTTCCTATCTCCCGAGCGAGTAACAACCTAGCGAGGTCGTGCAAGAAAGTATGCAGAACCTGTCGACCTGGAACCTCTACGTCGACGGGTCATCGAACAGGAAAAGAACCGGTGCAGGTCTTCTCCTTGTAAGCCCCGAAGGGGCTCGAATTCATGGTATTCTCCTGTTCGGGTTTAAGGCGACCAATAATGAGGCCGAGTATGAAGCCTTGCTCGCCGGGTTGCGACTTGCCAAAGAAATGGGTGCAACCGTGATCAGCATTTACAGCGACTCCATGCTGGTCGTCAACCAAATTTTAGGGGAATACCAAGCTAAATAAGAGAACATGGTCCGCTACCTGAAA